CCTTTACATCAGGATGGGGAACATCCAGCCCATGTACCATATAAGGTCTTCAAAATCATTTGGTCTGACTCTGCTAGGGCAACCACAGGTGGGACTCAAAATGCAATAAATGTGGGAGCCTTTTTCACTGCAACATACATTTATATTAAATGAGTTATAAATATCCAAATGGCTCTTGGCAGAAAAAAGGCTTTCTACCCCTGCATTAGGTGTTCAGAGACATCAGCACTCTGAAAGTCTCTTATGAACACACATTGCCTTGAGTTGTTTATTCATTCCTCATTTGTTTGACATCTTTTTTTCTCCAGACACCAAGCCTCATTTCTTCATATTTCTTAGCACAGTGTCTGGAACTCTGGTGTAATCCCTTGCCAATTTTTAATGACTGACTCACAAACTGATATGGATGGGCCCTTCACATTATATGGCAATTGCCTATTCTCTTGGCCATATTCCCCTTATTAGAAATTCAATGAAGAAACGAACTTGTCTGTCTAACTACTTGGATTAGTCCAGAATAGTCAAAGAGAAAATAATACAGAACAGTGCTAGATGTGCCAAAGCCAGAGCTTTCATGATGCCCCAGAAATGGAGACTGATGGGAACGTGGAGTCTGAGAAAGGTGCAGGAACCCCCACTCCCTTAAGCCTGCACTAGCCTGCTACCACTAGAGCCAGAGAAAGAACGCACCCCTCAGGCCTCCATATCTTGCAGATGTGCCTTTAGAATAGACTCTGTCTGGAACCATGCCTGCAAGGGGTTATGGGCATGAGAATGGGATCAAATGAAAATGAAACCCAGAAATTATTACCTGTTGCTTGAGTGGTGTGTGTGTGTGTGTGTGTGTGTGTGTGTACTTGTGGGTATGTAACATTTTAGGGATTGCCAATACCTTTTATAGAATCTAGTGGTAGTTTATCATGGAATTCTTTCTTAACCACTACTACCATTTGAAAAGTGTGTGTGTGTGTGTGTGTGTGTGTGTGTGTGTGTGTGTGTGTGTGTGTGTGTAATTGATTTCAGAGAGGAAGGGAGAGGGAGAGGGAGAGGGAGAGCGAGAACCATCAATGATAAGAGGGAATCATTGATCAACTGTCTCCTGCATGCCCCAAACTGAGGACCGAGTCTGCAACCTGAGCATATGCCCCCACCAGGAATCGAACCATGACCTCCTGATCATAGTTTGATGCTCAACCACTGAGCCATGCCGGCTGAGCACTACTATCATTTTTGAGTGCTTACTTCATTATGCTAGCCAGTTACTCTGCCAGATACATTTCCATTTAATCATTCATTTAATTAATATTTGTTGAGTGCTGACTAATATATTATCCTGAGCACTTGGAATAAATCAACGAACAGAAAGACAAAAAACTTTGGTCCATGTAGAAATAACATTCTTGTGGCTTGAGGAAAGGGTAGATGCTAAGCAATAAATAACTAAAACATATGGTATCTTGGAAATTTGGGAAAATATACCAGGAAAGGAAGTTCTGGAGTGCTGGGGAAGGGTGGCAAGTTGTAGTCAGAATAAGCTTCATTAGAAAATTAATAGTTGAGTAAGGATTTGAAGGAAGTTAGAGTTAGTGAGATAGACACTTGGAATAAGAACTATCCACAGTGAGACTTTGAAATCATCCCCTTTAAGATCAAGATCAAGACCAAGGAAGCATTGGAGACTGAAAGTTTTAATTAGGCTTTGTAATGCCAAAAAAAAAAAATCATCAATATAAGGTTAGAAAAAAACAGAGAAATGTCATTCTTTACAGATTATAGTGTTTTCTACTTAGAAAACACAAAGAATCAGATATTTTTAAAAACATATTTTTGTTGTTGCTAGTATTACAGATATTTCCCATTTCTCCCCCTTCATCCCCTTCCTCCCAGCCTCTACAATCCCCTAGGTCTTCACTACCCTATTGCCCGTGTCCACGGGCTATGTATGTAAGTATATGAGTTCTTCGATTTATCTCTCTTCATGCTCCCAATCCCACATAGAAGTATGTCAATCTGTTCCATGCCTCCATGCTTTGGGTTTTATTTTGTTGTTCAATTTCAGATATTTTTTAATATTTATTTTTTATTAAATCTTTACTATTTAAAGTATTACATATGTCCTCCTTATTTGCCCCATTGACCCCTTCTAACCAGCCCCTGCCCTCTGCCTCAGGCCTTCACTACACTATTGTCTGTGTCCATGGGTTATGCATGTATGCTTACAAGTTCTTTGATTAATCACTTCCTACCCACCCCCATCCCCACCTTTCCTCTGAGAGAATCACATATTAATCATTCAAATTATTAAAAGAATTTAGCAAGCATGCTAGATGTAAAATCAATCTAAAAATAATTTTTATTTCTACCAAACAGTCCAATAGAAAAGCGGACAGGAAAAAAAAAAAAAGAAAAGAAAAGTGGACAGAAGATTTGGAAGAAGCAGTTCTTAGAGGAGGGAGCCAAATTGCCAATAGACATTGAAAAGATACTCGGCTTGCCAGGCTGCTGTGGTTCAGTGGTTGAGCATTGATCTAAGAACTAGGAGGTCATAGTTCAATTCCCAGCACGTCTGGGTTGTGGACTAGATCCCCAGTGGGGGAATATACAGGAGGCAGCCAATCAATGATTTTCTCTCATCATTGATGTTTCTATCTCTATCCCCCCCTCTCCCTTCTTCTCTGAAAGCAATGAAAATATACATTTAAAAAAAGAAAATAGAAGATAGTTGGCTTCATCAGTAACTGGACAAATAAATGCATATTAAATGCACAATGACATGTCAATCCACATCTCTCAGACTGGCAATAATTTTAATGGGTTATATCAAGAATAGGATAGGACAGGTGGTGCAACTTTTATCTACTGATGGAAGGCAAATGATTGCTGCTGACACTTTGGAATATGGAATTAGTTAATAAGTGTTTAAGATGCACACATTTTGGCTCACATAGGGAAACGTTGCCCATTGGCAGACAAACACTACAAATAACCCTGGCACATAATAAGCACCCAATAACTCTAGGGAAAGGGGCTGCATAGATACATAAATTATGAATGATTCATAAAATACAGACTATTCAGACATCTACTCCAAGTGTGGTACAGCACTACAGGGTTCATTCTTACTTTTCTTCTTGCTTACTTGTAAGTTATTTTTGGGACAGTGAAAACCTGATTTCTTATGTTCTGTGCACTCACTTTCATTTTACCAAAATGGTACTTTGTTATATACATTTCATCCTCTTTCTTTCTTCATCTATAGATTTGCTGTGTGTATATCTAGTCTCTTACTTTCAAGTATAACATACAATTTCATTATGTGTATCCACTTATCTTATTGACCTGCATTCTTTGCAGAAAAAAAATATATTACCTAGCTGGTTTGGCTCAGTGGATAGAGCATCAGCCTGTGTACTGAAGAGTCCCAGGTTCGATTCTGGTCGGGGGCATCCCCCGTGGGGGCTGTGCAGGAGGCAGCTGATCAGTGTTTCTCTCTCATCAATGTTTCTAACTCTCTATCCCTCTCTCTTCTTCTATGTAAAAAATCAATAAAATATATATTACCTTTAAAAAGAGGTTAGGTAAAGACTTCATCAATAGTGCCCAAGCAGAATCAACCTTACTGCATCAGCAATTGCTGTTCTCTCAACCTGGGTGGCTCTTTCTTTAGCTTTTTCAAAGCTATTTCCTTCCCATGGTCCCTTGAATTTCAGCTAAAATGTGACCTCCTTATAGTTGCTTTCCCTGACCAAATTATATGAAAGAGTTCTCTTCTAGTGTGAAACACTCTATTACACACTCCTGCTATATTGTATGTCCCTGGTTACTAGCTGAAAAATCTTATCTATTGATTTACTTACAGATGAATTGTCTGTCTCCCCCCCACCATGCTCACCCCCTCCCCATTAAATATTAGGTCCTTGGGAGCAAGGATTTTATTGCCTTTCTCTGCTTCCAGCACATAGAACAAAGCCTGGAGGATAATCAGTGTTTAATAAATACTTGAAGAAGTATTGAATGAGAGAAGTGTAATGTCTCAGGCAATTCAAGGCAACCTATGGAGAGGATCTGGCTTCAAAATGACCAAATCAGAATATTTCACTTTCCCACTTGTCTCTTAACAGTATTCCTTCTTATTCCTGGTAATGTTATACCGTTAGTTGTAAAGAGAAGGGGTATTGCTCAGCAGATCTGAGACCCAGATCTGAGATACAGTCCTAGCTAGGTCTCTTCCTGGTTTTGTGCCCACGGGTTTCAGGCTACAATTTGTAGGTGAAATTGCCAAGGAACTTGGAATTTCTGTGATATATATTTTTTAACTCCCTGGTGTAGATGAGTTGCAGTCTGTAGTAAAACGATGTTCCTAAAGTAAGGTGACCAGATCGTCCCGCTTTGGGCGAGACAGTCCTGATTTCTAACAAAATTTCCTGCCTCCTGCAGCGTTTAAAAAAAAAGTCCCGATTTTTAGACTGCCCCGCCAAAAGCGGGACGTCTGGTCACCTTCTCCTAAAGCAACAAAAGCTCTGTAAAAGACATTGGGGAGGGTCGTGAACAGGAGGGGCCTTCTGATGGGCCTACTGTACAGAATCAACACAGCTGTCCATGCACTCCAACCCCCCACCCCTCTACACCTCTCCAGGGGAGCAGTGCCTTTCACTTAGATCAGGCCCTCTAACTGCTCTTCAGAGCTTTGGTTGGCAAGCCCAGAGGCATCTCCTATGGGGCTTGCTTAGGGACTGGCTCAATGGGCGGGACTATATCTGCAGCCGCAGCTTATTGGCTCCCAGTGAGGGGCGTGCCCAGGATAGGGGCGGAGCTACGCTGGCAAGATGGCTGAGCAGCTCTAGAGCTGGGGAGGAGGAGCAGTAGCAGCTGCTGCTGCTGAGGCAACCAGTGCCCCATTCCGGAGGAGGCCGTGGGCGGGGCTTGAGGGTGCCCCGGCTCAGGTCCCCCTGCCCTCGGCTGCTGCTCCTGCGGGTCCGCGGGGCCCGAGCCGCCCGGCCATGGCGGTGTCGGCGGCTCTGTCGGTGGCGGCGGCGGCCGCGGCCCTGTCCGGCGTGGCGGTGCGGCTCTCGCGCCTGGCGGCGACCCGCGGCTCCTACGGCGTCTTCTGCAAGGGGCTCACGCGCACGCTGCTCACCTTCTTCGACCTGGCCTGGCGGCTGCGCCTCAACTTCCCCTACTTCTACATCGTGGCCTCCGTCATGTTCAACGTGCGCCTGCAGGTGCGGATCGAGTGAGCGCGGGGCCGCGGGCCCCCCAGGAGGGCGCCGCTCCCGCCCCGCCGCCCCCCGCCCCCGCCCCCGCCCCCCGCCGCATGGGGCCGGCCGCGCCGCCCGGGTCTCCGGGTCGCGGCGCGGGAAGGAGGGCGGGTGGCCCGGGCCCCTGGTCCCCGGGGCTCCCCGACAGGACGCTGGCCACTGAGCCACCGGGCCACCCGACCCCGGACCCGGTCGGCCTGGTGCGCACCGCACAGACGCGGACAAAGCGGACCCTCCCGCGGGCTCCGGAAAATCAGCTGTTACCTCACCTTGGCCAAAGGGACCAGACAGAAATGCTGCTGCGGGCCGTGCTTTGCCCGGTCTCACCAAAAAGGTAGGCTGCCAGAAAGGCGGTTGGAGGGAGGCGGTTGCCATGGCATCTAACCGTCCAGGCCCCTGAGGTTGTGTGTGTGAGAGGGGCGGGGTATGGAAGGACCCCAGCCCAGAGAGCTGCGGAGCGGGGCAGGGTCACAGGCGCTTGGAGTCCCTTGCTGTGATTCCAAATTGGGGGTGAGGGTGGCTGTGGCTTAGGCATCTTGCACCTCAGCAGTTCCGCCTTCCACCCATGGAGACCTGGGTGTCCTGTCCCGCCCACAGCCAGCTCCCCTCCCCCATCCCCCAATCCCACTCTATCCCCAGGGCCCAGGAGGTGTCACCTGAGATAGAGGCGATGGAGGGGAATGGGCTGGAGTGGCCCATGTACCACACTTCACCCCCCTGGAGAGGCAGCCTGGAACCCCAGCTCTGCCCCCTTCTCAGCACTCAGGCCCCGGGCTCTCTGCAGCCCCCTGAATCCCGCCCCTGCTCCCCGTTTTGCTCCCACCTTCCTCTTGGAGGAAGAGGGGAAAGATGCCCTCCTCCCTAGCAGCCCCCCAGTTTGGCTCTCCTGCCACCTCCAGCCCTCCCCTTGCCACAGAATGCCGTCTTTTGGCCCAGACAGCGTCCAGGAGTGCCCTGTGAGCCCAGAGCACCTGGGAAATGTGGGTGTCCTTGAGCAGAGGCAGCTTCAGGCTGGGGTGGGGAGCACAGAGGGAGAAGGGGCTTGTAGAGAAGACAACACGTGGAGAACTGGGGCCTCTCTGGGTAAGGAGGCAACTCTCCATCTCCATTTCTTTTTCAGGAACCAGTGTTTGCAGCCAGTGACTCGCCCCCTCTCTGGCCTCATGAGAGTCAAATCTGTGCCCAAGGACCCCCTGCCCCCAGAGCTTCCTGGCAGCAGCCGAGTGAAGAGCCTGGCTGAGGAGAAGATGAAGGGCCTGCCCGGCAGAGGCCCGAGGTATGGGACGGCCCAGAGGTCTGGTTGTGGCATGGGAAGGACAGGACACTGTCACCGGGACACTGAAATCTCTGAGCTCACCAAGAGGGTGTTTTGTTCTCCCCGCCTGCTGACATGGGAAACGGTTCTGGGAGGGGCTCACATTTGTCCTTTCACACAAATAGGAAGTGGTGGAGCTAAATCTTCCCAAAGGCCTGCTCCCCCACCACGCCCCGTCTTCTGGAAGACCTGGCCCAGGGAGCTAGGGAGAGAGGTTCCGGGTGGGGAACTAGCTTTCCTTGGAGGGGTATGGGCGGCCACAGGAAACACCAGGAGGACAGTCTGAGCTGACATGGGCAGAAGACAGATGTGTCCAAGGATCCCTGGGCAGCTAAGGCCCTCACCCACAGAGCCAGGTCTCCCCCCACCACCACCCCAGGCTTAACCAGGGGCTCCTCCCCAGTTGGTCACAAGCCTCTCAGTCTGGGAGGGGGAGGAGAGGTAGCTCCTGGGGACACGATGTGACCAGAGGGTAAGGGATGAACTGGGGGTGGGGAGACAGGGAGCCATGCACAACCCATCTCTCTGTCCCAGGCTCGGATCCCCCACGCCCAGGATCACACAGGAGGCTCTACTCCAGATGGGCTTGGATTGGTCCTGGAGGCCCAGCTGTGCTGCTGACTGGTGTACCTGCACGGCCAGGAGCAGCCCTGAGGGGAGCCCGGAGAGACCCTGGCCCTCACCACCCACCCCGGCCCCCCATCTGCTCTGACACTGGTTGCTGCCAGCACAAGTACTCAGAGTTCCTGAGACTGAAAACCACAGCAGTGTGCTCAGCCCCAGGGACGGAGGGGCCCGATCTCACCACGTCTGCCCTCTCAGCTGCCTGGCTAGAGCCTGGGGCCTGGGTGAAGTGCTCCTCCTGCCTCACCACAGGACTGGGGACCCCGGCTGCCACGTGCCCCTGCAGTTTCCCACCAACAGAGCCTGATGGCTCCTTTCCTTGTGCCAAGTCATCTGGGAGCTCCTGGTCCTGGTGGCCCCTCCGCCCCCACGCTGTCCACCCAGGACCACTTCTGGGAGCCTGCCAGCCGGCCTGCCAACTCCACCCGCTGCTCTCCGGGGATGGCCTCAGGAAAAGGAGAGCAACACGGGCTGTGTTAGCTGGGAGGAGGGCCCGGGGCCTCCTTGGGGATGGTGCACAGATGTGCCCCTTCCTTTCAAGCCCAGGTCTCCCCTCTGGGCGACTGGATCCGCAGCTCCAGCCTCTTCCTGGGCTGGCCAGGGAGGAAGCAGACCTGAGAATGGCATGAGGGAGGCCCCTCACTGACTGTGCGCTGGTGTTCCACAGGGGAAATATGTCTCTGACCTCAGGGTCCCCGGTCTCATAGACCCGCTCCCCTGCCAGGAAGCTCCTCCCCATCCGGGGGACCCAGGAAGCCCTCCGTGGCTCTGGCTCTGGCTGTCTGCTCAGAGGGAAAGGCTGGGGAAGGGGCCAGCCGCCAGCCAGTCCTTAGTCTGTTCTTGCGCTGCTTTTCTTACCACTTTGGCCTTGAGTAGTGTGAGCTGTTTCTGCTTTCCCACCTCCCCCAGCCCTCCTGGGCCCTGGCTGCTTGACTGGCTCTCAGTGCACTTTACTTGTTAGCCGTCTGTGTTCCAGGCAGCGGAAATTCTGCCAATAAGAGACACCAACCTGAATAAGATGTCTCAGTTTTCTGTTTGTGTTCACTCTGTTCTGGTCAGAAATGTTCTTGTTTCTGGTGTTCAAAACTTGTTGTCTAAGTTATTAAAAGGTTCTCAAGTTCAATAAAGTAAATAAAACTGGAGGGCGCCTGTTTCTGGTGCGGGGCAATAGCCTGGGAGGACAGAGGGGCCAGTGCTGAGATCTCCGCCAGGAGAGCTGCAGGTGGGAGGGCCTCCTCAGGAGACGCTGAGATCCCACTGGCCCTGGACCAATGCCCCCGCGAGGGGAAGGCGGCAGCATGGGCCTGGCCCCGCGGGTGGCAATTGTCCCACTCATAACCTTGTGTGAAGACACTAACACCTAACTCTCAGCTTCATTTCAGAGCCTGGTGTTACAAGGCGCTTCATTAAATTGAACCCAAGGGTGTGAAGAGGGAAGTGAGGTGGAATTGTCTGTCTGCTAATCGTGGTGTTTCACCAGAAACCCCCCTGCAGCAGCAGGTGGCAAGGTCCCCATTGCCTCCCTGCCAGCCCCTTGGGTGCAGAGTTTTGGCGGAGATAAATCACAGAAAAAGAAGCTTCCCATCCCCACACCTTAAATCCCAAGTCCCATTGGAGCTCAGCTCCCAGTGCCTCCCCAGAGGAGCCAGGCCAGGGTGCTGCCTTCTGAGGCTGCTGCAGGGGAGAGGGTGGCAGGTGGACAGAGGGCTAAGTGCAGGAGGCCCGGGGAGGAATACAACAGCCAGGAGAGAGAAAAGCAAGTCCGCAGGCCGCAGAAGGAAGCCGTCTTGAGGATGCAGGATTGTGGTGACGAGGAGGAGCACAGCCTGGGGAAGGGTCCTGGGTGCACTCCTCATCTGTCGCAAGATCTCCCCAGGGGTCCAAGCAGCCTGACAGGACAGACCCTTTCAACATCTGCCACCACAGGAAGGAAGGACCCAAGTGCCCTGAGCTTCCCACCCTTTGTCCAGATGGTCCAGTGCAGTCGCTGATGGTGTCACACCCACTCGAGGGATCATGTGGCCTGGCACACCAAGATGGGAGAGGATCACAACAGAGCCCTCTGAAGAGGGAGGACCACCGTTCCCCAGACACATCCGGTTCTGGTTAAGACCTGTGCCCTGGCCCAACTGGCATGGCTACCTATGAACCAAGAAGTCACAGTTTGATTCCCAGTCAAGGCACATGCCCAAGTTGTAGGCTAAATCCTCAGTGGGGGGTGTGCAGGACACAGCCAATTAATGATTCTCTTTCATCATTGATGTTACTATTTCTCCCTCTCCTTCTCTGAAATTGATAAAAATAAAAAAATAAAAAAAATAAAAACCCTGTGCTCTGAGGAGATGAAAGGAACTGGTGTATAATGAGAACCTACTGAACTCCTGGTTTGCTCCCATCATCTATATCTATATATCTATATTTATATCTATATATCTATCTCTCTCTATATCTCTATATCTATCTATATCATCTATATCTATATCTATATCTATATCTATATCTATATCTATATTTCTCTATCTCTATATCTATATATTAGCCTAAGTGACCATGTGACTGTCCGACCCGTAGCTATGACGTGCAATGACCACCAGGGCGCAGATGCTCAAGGCAGGAGCTGCTGAGCTGCAGTGACTTGGCAGCTGCCGTTCTCAGATAACCCACCAGGAACCAGAGAGGAGGGAGCCAGATTCCAAGGTGTGTCACCTGAGAACTGCCCTCTTACAATCACAATCCAGGACCCCTTGGGGGATTTTGGAGAGCTGGTTTTGGCCCAATTCCTGCAGGCCAGACCGAGGGACCACATTAGTGTATGAATTCATTCACAGGCCTCTTGTTTTATTATAATTCCACAGCCATCTATTGGAGGATGTCATTGAGAGGATGTGACCACCAATTGACTCTTGAGCTGGACCTGGACAATTAGGCCCTTTACCCTCATCCTTGTCCTTGGATTGGACATTTTGCCCACCATTTCCATAGGCAGAGCTGTTTCAAAGACAGAGCCTTGAGAGAGTAAGGTGTTGAGATCATCTGGACA